TGATAACATATTACAGTATGACTTAAAGAAAACAGGTACAACATTGTTACATGATTTATATATTGCCAACCCAACCGTTAGATTATATTCCTAACAGGCGCTGGTTACTTTTTCATCACCTTTGTAACTGCAAACAGCTGTTGTAACTGCTGACCATGGTAGTTACAAAACAAGGACTACCTATAATATGTTATCACCAATGTGTAAATAGCTATTCTGGCAAGTGATTTGAGGATTATGTTTCTTCCAAGGGTTAGAAACTTTGACAGGTTTGTAGGTTTCAAAAAAATATGAGATGAAATGGCTTACCCAGCTCAAAATATCAGGAAACTGTGGTTTTGGGGGGGTAGTTTTGAACTCACTAAATATAAGAAAACGCTTTAACCCTTTACTGGAAAAGGATGGTGGTGACAGCAAACTAAACTAATATTTTGGCAAAGTAGTAAGCCATTATAAAATTTAAATTCTTAGCTTATCAAAAATTATATAGTACAGCCTTCTTTCCCTGAGGTCTTACACATAGATTGAAACTATAGTTTCCACAATTCTAAGCCAACACACCAATTACAAATTTGTGGTGGAAAAAAAGAGGCCATTATAGCACAACATGGGATAGATTTGGTGATCAGACAAATATGCAAACTTTTTTTTAATCCTGTGATTTATTTTGCTTGGGTTATCCCGGGGGGGGGGGGGACGACATAGTTTGGAGTGCAAAGCAATATTTTGCTGCCCTCTACAGTACATTTTTGACCAATATTTTCATTTTCAGGAAAATTTATTTATTTTATTTAGCAAATTTATATAGCTGCCAATGTCAGAAACCTGTCTTTGGATGGCCTATTTAAACACACACACACCCATTCAATTGTGTTTAATTCTCAGAGATTTCCTGGAAAGGTCCCTGCAAGGCTTTTCAGAAGTGGTTTGTTATTGCCTCCTTCTTAGGGTTGTGACAGTTGGCTTTATACTCAAAGCCAAAAACTCCCAGTCTCCCAGTTTCTAGCCTGATGCCTTAATCACTACAGCAAACTGGCATGCCAATTAAATTTAATTATTTAATTAAAACAAACATAAATAAAACATAACATAAATAAAAAGCCAAGATACTTTCTTTTTAGATGTTTGGTAACTTTTTTCTTGAGTTGTCATCCACCTATTTGTATTCTTTAAGCTACAAAGTAAGCATTTCCCAACATATTACAGATTTACCAATCACCTGTTGGCTTTTACTACCAACCAATTGTCATCACTATTTAAATCCATCTAGGTTGCCAACTAGTGGTGGGATTCAAATAATTTAACAACCGGTTCTCTGCCCTAATGACCAGCTGGGTAGGTGAGGCTTGGTGGTCATGTGACTGGGTGGGCGTGGCCAACTCAACATCACTTCGCCTTAGCTGTTACAATGTAATAAGGGTTAACTGGAGAGGCAGTTTCTGTAAGCAGGGCAATAAAGATGAGGCTAGAAACAACACCAGAATGTTTGTTCCTAAGGATTAGCCCTGTAAAGTGGAAAAAAACAAAATGAGATTTCTTCCAAAAACCAGTTCTCCAAACTGCTTAGAAAGTTAACAACTGGTTATCCCAAATAGATGAGAACTGGGTGAATCCCACCACTGTGGGATTCCCACCACTGTGGCATCTTAATTCCTGTTTTCTCCCAATTCTTCTTCCTAGAATTCCCAGAATTTAACATGCCTCCTCTGAGTGTGTTATATTCTTCTGTATGGGAAACACTATTCTACGAGGAGCTAAACCAATTGATAGTCTCAGCTCTGTCCGTCAGCTAAGAGAAGGAATGGCAGAACCTGGGGATGGAATCAAAAGAGGAATAAGCCTAGCCACAAATAGACCTTGAATCCCATTGACCCTTTTTTAGGATGAAAGTAGAACTAAAGTAGATTCTTATACTTAAGCATGAGCAGTAAAAAAAATCAGTTTAATTGGAATTTCATGTGTGATCCAGGTCTTTTGTACCTGACGCCAGCTGCCTAACCAAAAACATGTATTTTAAGTTTCTCCAGGGAGAAACTTAATTCAGGGACCCCAATAAGAAGCCGAATATAGGTTGTTGCAGTATCATTTTCTTCTTCATAAAAATAATACATAAAATGTAATAAATTTGTGCCAGGTTTTTTGATGCAGGAGCAGAATGTTTCAGGGTTAATGAAGTTTGCACATCTCTGCTATGAAACAGTTTCATTGTGGCTGTAGGGATTTTTAATCCCCCAAGGGCATAAATGTTATTAGTATCCTGATTCAGAACTCTTCAATATGTAATGCATTATGTCAATGTAAGAAGAGCAATATTGGGAGCCTGTTTCTTCTGAATACTGTAGTAGCCTTAAACAATACATCATCCTCCACATAAAATGCCTTTCCCAATTTTTCTTTTGACAGATGATGATGATGATGTCGATAGTTCAACACAATCATCATTAAAAGAATCCCAGGTTTCAGCAGATTCGAGTAAGTGGCATTTGATATTAAGTACATATTCTCTCCAGAGCTCAAAGGTTTATACACAGATAATCTGCATTTTTTTATTGTGCAAAATGTTCACTCAAAAAGATTGTCGAGAAGTTGGTGTAGAGCAAGGATGTCAAACTTGCCAGATGTGTCACGCTTTGGCCACACCCACCTCCGCTTTAGTGAAGGGGGGGAAAGTTGCGATACGTCACATGATGACAATGTGATCAGTGGTGGGTTCTGGGCGGTACAGCCTGATACGGGCAAACCGGTGACCACTGCTCCCAGCGGCCACCATGCCGGAACGGTGTTTCGATGGGCCTGCCCACCCGTCCACATTCCTTACCTCTTTTTGAGGGAAACGGGCCAATTGCACACGCATGCACAGCGTACTGTGTCTGTGTGACCTCGCTGAGCAGCTGCACGCAGAGTGCACATGCCCAAGGTGGACGTCTGGCCCCGTCGTAGCGTACCGGTTGCAATAGCATCTGGAACCCACCACTGAATGTGAGTTTGACACCCCTGGTGTGGAGTTTCAGGAGGATGATCTTGCAGAAATATGCAGGAACCCTCCTTACCTGAGCAAAAAGTGATGAAACACCCTTTAAAATCCAAACAAAGATATAATAGATGCGTCCTTGATTAACTGAAGTATAAGAAGGAGAAGGAACAACACAGTCTGACTTGTTAGACTTTGTTTATAGCCAGTCTTAATGAACATTTTAGCCTTTTTTGGAGATTATTTTCTCATATGGCTTACTAGCTCAGCTGACAGCTAGCCAGCTCTTGTTGTAATTGACAATATTATTATTAAACAATGATTAATTCAAGCTGTTTGTGTGATTCAGCCCTTTAAAGTGTCTGCAAGGCAGCTTCTTTGAAATATGACGGTAGCTTTTTATTATTGAATATTTAAAAATATGTAACATAAGGTTAAAGCTGCTAAATTAATCAAATATAACTATAAAATGACATATGAAAAGAAATCCGCTGCTGTCTCTATTGAATTAAATATCTGTATTCATTGTGGTTGATTAATTGTTTATACACTAGTTTCAATGTGATTTAAAAAGCAAAAAAATTTTTTTTTACATAAAAGAATCCTCAAGATATTACAGATCTCATTGCCTTTTGCATTGTCAAGTTTAAGAGCTCCTTATTATTTTGTTAGCTTATCTATTGTACTTTTTAATATAATTGTTATTAACAATGTTTCTCTACAGCGTAAAAACAATATAAATTTTGAGTTAAAGAGAAATAGAAAAAAGTAATAGAAAAGTGAAAAAGAAATATAGAAAAGAGTAGTAAAGAAAGAAAAAAAGAATAACAAAGAAGTGACTTCTGGTCTTCTTAACAGCAGTTATAAGAACTTTTGTATATTCTGCCCCCCCCCCCTCTCTTAAGGTTACATCAAAGTTTCCTACTTTCCATAATGTAACCTTACTAGTCTTCTGATCGATAAAATCATCAGTTCATTTTTCTTTTTTCAGCAAAAAGTCCCTAAGGACTGTCCAGTTTTCAATAAATGTAGTAGCTGATATTTCTCTAAGCAAACAATTTTTCTACCTCTGCTAGACTTCTGTACCAATGCTCCATTGTGGGTATTTCAAAATTTTCACACACAAACAATCATATATAAAAACAATCTGCAATTGTTTTTTTTTTCCTAGTTGTCTGTGCCTACTAATCCCTACTAAGAAGTTCTTGGTTCAGTTGAATCTGTCTCCATAATTCTGTGTATCACCAAATGTATTTGAATTCAAAATGTTCTGGCTTTTTTTACAAGTCCATCAAGCGGGATAACAACATGATTCTTCATGTTTTCCGCATTACCAACATACTGCATATTTGAAGTACCTTTTCTCACAATAGATAATTTTTCTGGAGTCATATACCAATGGTGCATCATTTTATAAAAATTCTCCTTTAGATTATAATGTGAATTTCAATCTTTTCAGCTACATTTTCCCATTGTCCCAACAATGTATGTACCAAATTCTCGGCCGATTTTATCCTATACCTTTCATGTGTTCATTTTCCATTTCAGATTTCAGCAAGAGTGCATTCATTTTGGCAATTACATGTATCATCATTTGTACATTACAAATTCTGTCTTCTATTGTTCAGTTCCAGTTTGTTATCTACCTTAAATCTTTCTCTTAACTAATTAGGAGATGCTTTTATTTGTTGTACTTTTCAGTCATGAGGTCTCCAAGAATGGTTTAAAATGCTTTCATTGAGAAAGCTTTGATTTAAGGAACGGGGATCACTTTTTCCTTTCTCCAATAGCCTTCCTATTGATTTAAGAATCTTTTCATGCACTGGATACAGAGATAGTCCTCTGAAGCTTTTCATACTGAAGATAAAATATTTGAAGGTTCCTCTTGTCTTCCCACTATCCCTCCTCCGCATGAAATATTTTCTGCTAGGGCACGGGAGATGCCATGTGTTTCCATGGATTCTGAAGCACCGCTTGAAGTTAAATCCAAAATATTCCATGTAGGATTCATGGTCCTATTTTCTACCATGTGTTCTCTACCATGAAGTCTGATTGAATTAAATAGGTGTTCCTGAATAAGGGTGTATGAAAATTTAATGATTTTCTTTCTAATTACATAAACCTCTGGATTTTGGACAGTTCTTTCTTCTCCTGAAATCATCTGCAGATTTTTTTGGCTGAAGTACAAATCTAATGGGACATAGTGGTTCAGTGGCTAAGACGCTGAGCTTGTAGAGCAGAAAGGTCAGCAGTTCAGCGGTTTGAATCCCTAATGCCACTTAATAGAGTGAGCTCCCATTACTTATCCCAGCTTCTGCCAACCTAGCAGTTTGAAAGCATGTAAAAATGCAAGTAAAAAAATAGGGACCACCTTTGGTCGGAAGGTAACAGTGTTCCATGCGCCTTTGGTGTTTAGTCATGCCGGCCACATGACCACTGGGACGTCTTCGGACATCGCTGACTCTTCGGCTTTAAAACGGAGATGAGCACAGTCCCCTAGAGTCAGGAATGATTAGCACGCATGTGTGAGGGGAACCTTTATCTTTATTTATAAATCTAAAGTTATCTTAACTATGGGAGAAGTTTGATTTTATGAAATCATAAGTCGTCGGACAACAACATCTGATTTTATAAAATATAAGTTAACAACTTTAAATATAAGTTGTTCTCCAACAAGTTATATTTAAAAAGCAACTACTTAACCAACATGTTTTTAAGACCTTTCCAATACCTTCAGGTTATACTGAATATTTAGCAGGATTTAGTATACAGACTTTTTAACATTATTAAAATTTTCAGAAGTAGGACACAAAGTAACAGAATCTCATGGACTGAGCCTTAAAATATTGTGAAGCCTCGATTAAGAAAGACTCAACATTTTTATTTCTGTTTCATAGTATGTTTTATTAATTTTATTTTATTTTTATATGAATTAAAAAATGCACTTGCTAATTGGTTTTAGTTTTTAAATTCTATGTATTTCTGTTCTCAGAGAACCCCAAACAATTTAAAAATTTTGAATTAGAGTTTTGGAGGCTTATTTTACTTGTATCAATATTTCTTTCGCTCTTGGGACCTCATAAGCTTTTTCCCCTGAGCTGTAAAATGAAATTCCTAGCACGGAGTGTTGAAGATCATATTGGTTTTGTCAGTTTTATACGCTTTTTAAAATTGTGCTGTGACTCATTTTTTGCTGGATAATAAAATTATTATTGCCTTAGGATGATAAAATGGAGCAAACTTCATCTATAAATGGAAAGTGGGTATGACTGTGATTTTGTGGACCATTTGAATGGAGGCTTATGTAGAAATGGAGTTTAGCATTATGGCTTATATGGCTTGATGGTTTATACCAGAGATGGTGAACCTTTTCGGCACCACCAAACCGGAACAGGTGTGCATGTGCGTGCACGGGAGCACTGAAAATCCGAAGAACAGCTGGCTGCCGTGTGCATGCCTGTTTTTGGCCATTTTGGGGGCTGTTTTCAGACTGTTTTCGGGCTGTTTTCCACGTTGTTTTTCAGGCCATTTTGGGGGCAATTTTCAGGCTGTTTTTTTCAGGCCATTTTTTTGTCCCAAAACAGCCTGAAAACCATCTGGATTTTGGCCCTTTTCATGCCATTTTCCCATGCTCCGGCACCCTTGAAGACTAGTTGGCAATGGCATGCGTGCCCACAGAGAGGGCTCTGCATGCCACCTCTGGCACGCGTGCCATAGGTTCACCATAATCGGTTTATACTTATGAAGCCTATGGTTAGAATGCAGTATTGCAGGCTAACTCTGTCCACTGCCACGAATTTGATCCTTATGAGGCTCAAGGTTGACTCAGCCTTCCTTAGTCAACCTTCTGAGGTTGGTAAACTAAGGACCCAGATTGTTGGGGGGCAATATGCTGACTCTGTAAACTGCCCAGAGAGTACTGTAAAGCACTATGGGGTGGTATATAAATGTTAAGTGCTGTTGCTGTTGCTATGAAGGCTGTACAGCCATAAATCATGGTTTTGCGTAATTAGCATTGGTTCTCAAGATCCATTTAGATCCAGATATTGCTAGAGCATCCAGGATTGTAAATGAAAAAGTGCCAATACATTTTTTAAGTCTCTAGAATAATGAAATCCACGTGTCTTTAAGTGCACCTGTCTTAAAGTTGTCAAGGTTCAGAAACACTCCATTAAAGGACTTCTGATTGATGGCTATCTAGCTTCTGATTAAAAATTGGTAGGTCTTAATTTTGTCTAATTCCCTGATCAGGACATGATTCACTAGAGCAGGAGTGTCAAACTCGATTTCATTGAGGGCCACATCAGGGTTGTGTTTGACTTTGGGGGCCTGGGGTGGGCATGGCCAGGGTGAGTGTGGCCAGCTTGACATCACTCGTGCTGGTGGCCCGAGTGCTCTGTCAGCAAGATGGCCTCCCGAGCTCTATTTTCGGCCATGATGGCTTCCTACAACACTCTGCTTGGGAGGGCCACCTGCAGCCCCCCTGAGCTCTGTTTTCACTGGCAGAGGCACCATGAGCTGGTACTTAGCTATTTCCAGGGCAGCTTTGTGGGCCAGATCTAAGCACCCCAGAGGCTGGATCCAGCCCATGGGATTTGATTTTGACACCCCTGCACTAGAGCAACATTTCTCAATGGGAACTTCAATACCTATGGATTACAACCATCAGAATTCTGGGAATTGAAGTTAATTGACAGGTCTTAATTGACAGGTCTTAATGTTGCCAAGGTTGAAAAACGCTGCACTAGAGAATCTCTGACTGATGACTTATCTAGCTTCTGATTAAGGAGCTGTAGCAAATTACCACTCTTCATATGGTAATCTATACTAATGGATGACAGCTAGTACAGTCTGATAGCTTATGAGTGGAAGAGAAAATGTTTTTAAAATTGTGCTGTGGCTCTGTGCTTATTTATTACTTGATATAGCCTCTTTGATCAGTGTAAAGAATAGAACTGCAATCACAATCCATTAATATTACAATTAAGAATTAACCTTTTGAACACCTCAACAATTTGGAGGTGTATGCTACTTAACTGCATTTCTTGTGTTACATATTAAAATACTTGTTTTTGTTTTAGGTAAACAAATATTAAAAATATATGATGGGAATGATGCAGTAAAACGTAATCAGTATCGTCTTATTACAGTTCCGAGGATTGCAAAAAATGAAGAAGTTGTGGTAAGAATGCCAAGAGACCAAACTGTTTATTGAAAATGCTGAAGAATTTAATTCTGTTTGGAAGAGAGACTAATAATTTGGTTCATGAGTTATTCTTTTGTCGCAAAACAGTAACTAGTGGGAAAGTAACTAGTAGCTGGTATAGTACTGACATAGATATGTGTTTTTAAGTTTTATCTTAATTTTCAATATATTTTACAGTCTTTGCCATTTGCGTAATGCTGCTACTTGTATTCTGAGTTTTGATTGACTCTAAATGGTGAATCAACATTTGGAGGTTATTCAGTTATGTCTTCATAATGGGAGGGGACATCTGGCTACCAATTGTCACTGTATCAACAAAGGAGATTAAGTGAAGCTTCTGCGAAGTTGAGTGCGATGACTGAATAGGTTCATGTTGATTTTTTTAGTAAATTTAGGAAAATAGAAGTTGAATGAAGTTGAGTGCGATGACTGAATAGGTCCATGTTGATTTCTTAGTAAATTTAAGAAAATAGATCACTGTTGTTTTTTCTGGAACATCAATGCAATTTCTCAGTCTATACCAGTGATGGCTAACCTTTTTTGGATCGCGTGCCAAAAGCAGGGGCAGCGCAGGGGGGTTGTGAGCAGGCATGCCCACACCTATAATGTTATGTGCTCAATCCCCCGTGTGCCTGCAGACACCCCCCCTGCTTTTGGACCCATTTTTTGGACCCAGGCTCCAGAGGCTTTCTAGGAGCCTGGGGAGGGTGAAAACAGCCTCCCCTGCCCTCCCAGAGGCCATCCGGAGACTTCAGGAGGTTTCCCTGAAGCCTCTGGAGGGCACAAAATGGTCCTATGGGCAACCCTGAAGTTTGAGAATGGTGACTTCCAGTTTGCCCGTATGGCCGTTTTTCACTCCCAGGAGGCTTCCCTGAACTTCCAGTTTGCACATTGGGTGGTTTTCCAGAGAAGCCTCCGGAGGGAGAAAAATGGCCAAAAAAGAAGGCCAAAGTGGAGCTGACAGGGCAACGCATCGCATGCCCTCATAAATGGCTCGGCATGCACCTGTGGCACATGTGCCATGGATTCGTCATCATGGATCTATACTGAGACCTTGGAATGACTAAATAATTTCCCATTCTGAGGCTAACCGGATCTGATCCCACTTAACATTTTCAAGAATAATCTAGGATGGGGTACATTGGTAATTGGGACGCAAGATGATGCATTATGATAGAACTTGCCAAGACTGAGTAAAGATTAGAATTTCATACTTCCTTCATACTTATCACAAAATCTCTCAGGGGAAATTTAACTGCTGATTGGAACTGTGTAATTGACGTAAGTGAGGGCTGTATCACCATTCCATTCAGGCATATTCTTTTGATTTTTTTAAAAAACAAGGATTTACTGTTGTAGGAGGCTGCACTGAGGGCATACTACATCAGTGATGATCAACAAGATTACGAACTTCAGACATTCACTCAGCAGGCCTTGTTTTGTGACGACATCATTAATAGGAACGATACGACTGAAGAGGCGCAGCCGGGTTCTGTCTTCCAAGAAGCCGTTCCTGAGGCATGGGTTATCAGAGCTAAACCTAAGGAGAATGAAGTCATAAAGATTTATCCCGGCTGGCTGAAGTGAGTCATCTTGTTCACAGCAAATTCCAATTCTACTCTTGTTGTATATTTATTTACTCAAAAGACATGATCCACCCAAAATATAACAGGGGAAAAAATATCAACAGACTAGGTAGCATGGTCAGGTCAACCTTAGGTTACTAAATCCATCAGAAACCAGGTTTTGAAGGAATATCTGTGCTGGGAAAAGAAGAAAGAGAAGAATACAATTAAATGGGAATGAGGCACAGGGAAGAAAGAATTGGACAGGGAAGGGAAAGAGAGAGAAGGGAGGGAAGGAGGGAGGGAGGGAGAGGGAGGGAGGGAGAGAGAGAGGGGGGGGGGAGAGAGAGGGAGAGAGAGAAGCCCTGTCTAGACATAACATGGATTGAATTCTTGAAGCAAACAGCTCTTTCAAAGCAGCTGCTAATCTTCATGCTAATCTTCAAAGGCATCCATGCCTTGCAGCAACAAATTACTGTAGTCCTATCTAGCTCCTGTTTAGACCTCTTCTTTTAGCAGCTGCTTCTATATTTACCAGGGAATGCAAGAGTACTTCCCTCAATTCATATATCCCTCTTGTATGAAGGATACAAGAAGGTTGAAGTTGACGTCTTACTTGCTTGGAGCTCTGTACCTAGGGACTATCTGAACATATCCGTGTGTCTTGTTTGAAAACATTTCTTGTTTGGCTTCCTGTCCAAGTGTTAATAAAGTCAGACAGAAGGTTGCTAGTTACTACTATGGCATGATATCAAAGTACTGAGGTTATTTATTCTACAATGTCAACCTTATACATAAACAAACAACTTGTTAGTTAAGTACACCCAGGTATTCAGTACATTGCATTGCTATAACGCCATTTAGGATATGGAAAGTGCTTTTCTTTTTCTTTTGTGTGGTTTAACTGTACATTACAAATAATAGCAAAATTGAGATTAATTTGTAGATCCTCTTTGGTGGGATTGAAAAAAGTGCCCCCCCCCAAGGCACATTCAGTGAGGCCGCAACCATTATATTGTTGACTCAATTTTTTGGAATGTCATAAAAAAAGGCCCTTGCCCAATCCTTGGAATCAATCTCTCCATATTGAATCATCAAAAATTGTTGATAAATGGCCCTGAATTTTCAGAAAAATAATATTTTTGGGTGAAAAATTCATTGCATCTTATATGGGCCTGTTTTTGGCCTCCCGAACCCTTTGCACGTCATGTTTTTGCCCTCCCTGGCCCCCAGAAGCACTCTGCAGTGCTCTGCATGTCCCATTTTCGCAAAAAAATGGACATGTTTTTGAGCTCCCAAACCCTCAGTGTGTCACCCTTTCACCCTCCCCGGCCTCCAAAAGCACTCTGCAGGCCAAAAGTGAGCAAGTTTTTGGTGAAAGGAGGGCAAAAACACGGCGCACGGAGGCCAAAAATGATTTTTTGTCTTGTTTTCCTTCTGTGGGTCTAGGTGCGTCTTATAGTCTGGTGCATCTTATAATCTAAAAAATATGGTATATCCTTTTGATTTCATTTTCAAAATATGGCAAAGTACATATTTTGGCCAGGGTCCAAGACATATGAATGAGTATTCCAGCTCCTCAGTTATGTCTCCAACAAAAAGATGGTTATTACTGATTAGATTGTCTCTGAGCTGTCCAGTCTCTATAAAGCATGTATTATTATACTGTCCTTATTTTAAGCTAGTTGGAAATTAATTACATTACATAATTACATTATCACATTACTTGAAGGAATCCTGTATGGAGTTACCTAAATAGGATGTCCAAGTAATATGATGAATGGGATGTAATTCAAAAATGTGATCTTATTTTCTGTAAGACAGCAGTCATATCTGTTGATATAGGATTGGATCTGTGTACTTTAGAATAAAAAGTACGCAGAATAGAATAAAGGACCACCACTTTATTTTTAGAATAAAGTTGATTAGAGGTGGTCCTCGACTTGCGACTACAATTGAGCGTAAAATATCCATTGCTAAACTTGACGACTGCTAAATGAGCTTTGCCCCATTTTACAACCTTTTTTGCTACAGGTGTTAAGCAAATCACTGCAGTTGTTAACTTAGTTACGTGGTTGTTAAGCAAACCCAGCTTCCCCCATTGACTTTATTTGTGAGAAGGTTGCAGAAAATGATCACATGACCCCGGGACACTGCAACCGTCATAAATACATGCCAGTTACCAAGTGTCCACATTTTAATCATGTGACTATGGGGATGCTACAGTGGTCGTAAGTGTGAAAAGCAGTAATCAGCCACAGTCATTTTGAAGGTCACTAAACGAATGGTTGTAAATTGAGGACTACCTGCAGTACATTTGGTATTTGTTAATTCTTTTCTGTTTGTATCTCAGATAGATACAAATTACAAAGTTACTGCTTTTAATTGGTTTCAGTGAAGTCGACAACATATGAGATTTCTCACACAGTATTGTTGCCCAATTCACTGTTAAAAAAATTCCATTTTGGAAGCATGAAGTTCGTAGATGGATGGGAGGCATACAAAGTTAGTCAGTATTTGTCTCCTTTAAGGATTTAAGTCTCTTGAATAAAATATTTATTTAGTAGCAAAACGGAACCATTTAATAGGGATATTTAATTAATTTCTTTTATTCAAATAAAGCACTAAGTTAGATGAGTCTGTAATCAGAAATTGTTGTGGCATCTATTTCACATGCTTTAACTTCAAATATCACAATAAAAAGACATCAGAAAACAACCTAGCTGAAGAGAATTTCTTTGTCTGGAAGAGAAGGGAAGCTCAATTCCTGTTGAGCTTTATTAATAGAATGCCAAATATCCGGTAATGGAACTGAAACATGTAACTCTACAAAATATTATGAATCTCAAGGTATAACTTGAGGGGGTGGACTGCTCTGGTTTAAAAAGAGATCCAGATCGCTTCCAACTGTTGTATGGTTGATTTAGGAGGCAGGTATTGAAAACAAGTATTTGTTTTGGACAATATGTAGTTGGAGTATTATAAATTCGGGACTTTTAGCCTTTGATAATTCAGCGTGATAATAAATATGACATAGTCTTTTCAACCTGATGTTTCTGCTTTAATGATTAGAAAATCTGTCAGATAAAATAACAACAACCTTTGTACGTTTTTACCACTTATATAATTCTCCCATAACTCCTTGGCTTTCTATAAAAATACACTGTTTTTAAGCAGCAATTGTCATTCACAACATTTTTAAATTTAGCCAATGCTTGTTTATGCTTGTGTGGAAAAAAACCCTCTCAATTTTGCATGTTGCAAAGGAGACTATCAGTAGATAATTGGTGAACAAGAAAAGGAAGCAAAGCTATGCGTATTTGTGCCTTAACTGGATGACAGTGAAAGCAGCAGCAATTATTAAAATCAAAACAATGTATTATACCTTTGCATTATTTTCTAATCTTTAATTCCTTTCTTTCTTAATTCCTTAGCTAGTTTTTCAGAGTAAGCAAGAGAAATGCTAGTATTCTGTGTGCATTATTGTTCCAGCAATATCTGTAGAGATACATAACAGCTTCCTTTGTTCTAAATGAAGTAAATGGTGTGATATCTTGCCATGCTATATTTGTTTATTCACTAGCTTTAACCACTGAAATGGTAACTTTTAGTTTTAAAATCAAGCAGTGATTATATGCATTTGAAGATTGTTTTAAGAAAGGATCTGACTAAATCTTGTCCTTAATAGCTATTAATATGTCATTGTTATTTATTATTTTTGTTTTGTTGGTTTTTTAATTTTTATGATTTATTTTATTTATATTTTGCATTTCTAGACTGCCCATCTCCCTCTATGTTTGCCTCCCTGAATCGTGTTTGCTTGATGGGCAATTATATAATCATATAATCTCAGACACTAATTATAGATGATGGTAGCAAGTCTGTGAATTAAAAACCAGATTTTAAACAGCTGCAAACAAAATGAAAGGGAGAAGAACAAGATAGTTTAAGAGCAAAACAAACAGAATCTTCAAGGTCCTTCGTGATTAGTTTATTTAACAAAACAGAAGCTTCAGTGGGTGCCACAATAACAAATAAATAAATAATCAAATATACATTCTCCTATGATACATGCAAATAAGGTATATATGTGGTATATATGTTAAGCTTTATTTGATAAGCTGCAGGATCAATATCCCACAACTTGACAAATAGTACTATTGTAGAGAATGAGAAAAGATTATTTTTGTTTCTTTGTTTCTCTTATCTTGCGTATAAACTTTTATCCATGTCCTCAGAGTTGGAGTGGCCTGTGTCTCAATAAGCATAAATAAGGGGAGCACCACCGATATGGTGATTAAAGAAGTTCTTCCACTACTTGGATACCAGGTAGGCAGTAATATAAAGCTACCAGTTGCTTTTTTCCTAGGGCCTTATGAGTTAAATGTAACGGTTTATTCTATTTGTAGTCCTACTGTGATTCCAAAGAAGAGGCATATGAAAATAGCTAGGGAATTTCATTGCTGGTCCATTAGAGTTTTCATATATGTCTTCTGTTTCTCCACATCCTGCAATGTCCTAGGACCGTGATGGCGAAGCTATGGCATGCAGGCCAGAGGTGGCACGCAGAGCACTCTCTGTGAGCAAGCGTGCCATCGCCAGCTGCTCTCCATGCAACCTAGCCAACTGGTCTTCACAGCCTGAAAATGCCCCCCAAAACGGCCATTTTCCAGGGGCCTTTTTCAGGCTGTTTTCAAGCTGGTTTGGGGGGCGTTTTTGGCTCAGATATGGCCCCAAAATGCCCAAAAAACAAGCTTGCGCACACCGGCCAGCTTGTCTTCGGGTTTCCTGCACTCTGGTGTGGGCACATGCATGCAACGTTCCGATTTGGGCACTCAGTGCCGAAAAGGTTCTCCATCACTGTCCTAGGAACTATTTAAATAGCATTTTTTTCTGATTAACTGCTATGTTGACCTTACTTGATAGAAGAATGATGGGAAAGAAGAACAGAAGGTCAGGATGATCAGTCTCCCGTTATATTTTATATACTCTCTAGGACTCCCCAAAAAGCAGATAGAAGGATTTAGGTCTATATGTTGAATCTGACAGGATTGAAATTTATAGTTTTTATGACCTTGTTAGAGGGAGTGAAGGTTACAGAGAGTGCATGAGATCCAAAAGAATTTGGATTTTTTTCCTACTTGATATGTGGCATGAGAAATCAGGATAAGATCCATGGGGATCAGGTTTTGGCATTATTATAGATACTAAATATAATTCACATTCCTTTCTTCAGTGTATGGTGCATCTATGAAAGTTTTCCTATTAAAAACAGGCAATTCCCACATTTTTCTTTAATAGATTGAACCATGTTTTGCTCTGAGAGCCCGAAATAGTTTAAATTAACATTTAAGAATAAGTCTGGATGAGAGTAATCCTTATCCTCTTCTCTTTTTTGTGGCTTTTGGAGTTCTCTTTGCATTGATTCTTGCCAAAATTAATAATCTATTAATAGTTAGCCACTGGTGATAATACTATAGACATTCTACACCTGTCTTGTTAAAGCCAGAGGGACATTTTGTGCAAAAAATGCTTCACTTTAGATCATTGGTAGCTGAGCACCACTCATTCTGTAGTGTAAATTAACATTTAATACTTTGGCACTTATGCGATGTTCAAGGAGATTTGTCTTTCATTGTCTAATAAAGGTCCACAACTAGTTTTTCAAACTGCAATGCAAAATTTCCCAGTTTTTCAGGTAATAATAAGAGGGACGACAGATTACTTCTGTTTATAAGATATTTTCTTTTCTTTTTAAATCATGAAAACTGTTCAGTTTTAAATTCTATAGTTTGCCGGACATTCATTTTTAACATATCTGTCTTTTGGCAGTCAGATTGCTTCCAAAACTTCAAATTGGTGGAGGTCCTGATGGGCTCCAGACAAGGTGAGATACTGTTCTGCTGAATTATGTAAATGTAACTTCAGTTTAAAAAACGTGGATGTCTAATTCTCTCTCTTTTTTAATTTCAAGTTCCCTTACTCCTAAGAAATTTCCATACTTGACATTTGGACTATTTTAATTAATTGCATGATAGCTTTCAATTAAAAAAGAATCAATGAAGGTTTTTTAAAATTCTCCTTAGTTCAGCGAATGGTGCTGGATGATCGTGAATCAATTATCAGCAGGTTACAAGACATCAGAAAGGTAAACAAAGAAACTGTAAAAAGTACTTTTCTTTATCCTTCAGTGCTTTACTAAATGTTCAAACTCTTATGAATATTTTGTTTTAAAAAATCATGGTACAAAGATATTTAGGCTGGTTTTGCAAGTAAGAAGATCCCACAGTTGTTGACATTTCTACTTTTATAATCTATGAACTTGGCTTTCCTAGTGAGGTGCTGGCACTTAACCAAGTAGAAGCTCCAGAAGAAACAAAATTCAGTACAGGTAGTCCTTGAGTTACGACCACCATTGAGTCCAAAATTTACGTTGCTAAATCAAATGTTTGTTAAGTGTGTTTGCCCCATTTTACAACTTTTCTCGTTGCAGTTGTTAAGTGAATCATTGTATTTGATAAGTTAGTAACCTGGTTGTTAAGTGAATCTGGCTTCCCCATTGATTTTTTCTTGTCAGAAAGTCACAAAAGGGGATGACATGACCCAGGGACACTGCAGCCGTCATAAATATGAGTCAGTTGCCAAGTATCAGAATTTTGATTATGTGACCGTGGGGATGCTGCAAAGGTGATAAGTGTAAAAAATGGTCACTTTTTTTGGTGCCGTTGTTACCTTCGAACTGTCACTAAATGAACTGTTGTAAGTCAAGGATTACCTGTATTTCACCAATATTGGAAGTCTGGGAAGTCCTTTAAAAAATCACTGGTTGGAAAAAGAAGCTCCAAATCCTGGTTTGTTTGAGGAAGGAGGAAAAGTCCTAGTTCATAAGTAATACAAAGTTCTTGTTTCTGGTAGTCTTTGTCTTTGATTCTGCTGATTACATGTCACTTATAAACTGCATTTCTGGCTTATTGTGGCAACAGCTATTGTGATCATAAGTAATTGTGCAAAATAGTTTACTATGTTCTTCACTTTGTATTCTTGGCATAGAATTTTAAATTCAATGGTATTAGCCTAAAATTATTTGGGTGCCTGTTCATACTAATGGCACCCAACTAAACTATTTTAAGTTTTCAAACTTTTGCTAATATGTAGGACAGACTGAAAATGAACAAGCAAATTACATAAAAGGAAACTTGTTTACTGAAGAATGATCCTCATAGTAGACAGGCTTTGTGGTCTGGGAATTGTGTTTTGGTACTGATGGCAGAATTGGTTATAGAAGTCTTGACCTTCTCTCCTTATGAAATGTGCTTTAAGATGATGAAATTTTATTTTTTTTCTTACACAGACATCATTGCGTCAGATGAACCAAACAAGATTTTACATTGTAGAAAATAATATATCGACTGTGCGTGTACATCTGTTTGTTGGTGGTCTGCCACTCCATCTTACTCCAGAAGAATATACAAAAATCCTCAAAGATGAATTAGCCATCAAAAGTACGTCAGATACCCCCTTCCCCTGTGTCTGTTTTTTTAATCTACATAAATTGAAAAGTGCTTTTATATTTTGAAATGTTCTCAGATACCATCTATTTTTGGAATTACTTTTCATATTTTTAATACATGCTGTAACTTGTAGAAAATGAAAAGAAAAAGTCATTTAATCAGAGGCAATCATCTGAATGCCCCTGACACTTATTTTTACTATTAATAAATTGTCCTACCCTTTCATATATTTTTTCTTAGATTGAATAACAGCCACTTTCCATTTTTGTGCATATGGTTTTACATGAAAGAATTATTAGAAGTATATGCATTACATTTATAAGTCATTTTTAGTTTTTTGGGGGGAAATGGTAGAAAATAATAAGGAATACTGAAGTGGTGTTAAAGTAATATAGCTGCTTAAGAAGAGAAGGTATGAAGGTATAAAATTAACTAAGTTAGAATTGGCTGTTTAGGATAATGAAGGAGAAATAGAAATGTGTAAGTTAGGTATATTGCTGGGTGAAAACATATTGGATTCTTTGTTAAATACTAACCTGGCATGTTATGCAATCATTCTATCCCACTTTTTCCAACCCAGCATGAATGTGGGTTGTGTATATCTATCTATTTATTGGGTCCTCAAAAGCTCAGTTGCACAGATGAAAATTGTGCCCATGGTTTCTGGAATGTTACCCATCCAATCCTTGCTGACAGCAATTTAAATTAATAGTTAGCTTATGTGTGATTGGTGTTTGTTTAACTAACATATTCCCAGCAGTACTATTTGGAATTAGCTTTGTTTTATTACGAACCAGTTGATCCTATTTACTATCCTGAAGCCTTAGCTGAAAATCCATGGACAGTTTGTGTTTAAATTTCACTCATCTTCAAATAAACACAACTGGTCTTTTAAAATACATCAAAAATGAGACAGCATTAACTTATTAGCTGTACACTTTTCTTTCAGTTAGGAAAAAAAGGTTTTTAAAAAGGATGCTTGGGCAATGATTTTTTTTTATTATCGTTTCAGCCAATTTAGTTTCTATGAGTCACATATATTCATCTCAAGGTAAGAATATTATGCTTTAATTCAAATTTGACAGTTGAATTATTGGATATATGGTTTTGCTCTGGTTCATGTATGGTGCATGTAAGAATTACTTCACTAGCTCTTTCCCCTCCTCCTAATGCTCTTTGCATGTAGAAGCATGAACTCTTCCCTAATTATATTATTATGTGTGTTGATATTTCATCTCCTGGAGAAGAAAAATTTTTACTTTAAAAAAATATATCTAGATTGTACCATAGAAAGAGATGTTTTGTTTTCCAGAAATAAATCCTGTCCCAGTGACTCTAATAATCAATAAAGCTTTAGATTTGAGTGAGTGAGGTAAATGGCATAGTAATACTTACGTTGGAACAAATATGGGAACTCACAGTATGGATACATATGAAATATGGGCATGTCATGTTAAATATATTCTTCATTTATTCAGGTGCTGTTGTGCTAGAAATTACTTGTTTTTCTGAAGCTGAGAGACTGTATATGTTAGTTAAAGATACTTTCATCAATGACAAGGCATTAACTGCAGTTATTCTCCCTGAAATTCTGGTAAGAGCCATTGGCTGTGTGTAGTAACATAAGGCATTAATATATGTTCTGATTACACAGTTCATGTTTATTTTAGCATTTTTTCCTCTGGTGTATATTTTTATTTTGCTTTATTTGAAAGACACATATATTGCTTCAGATTAGTGGCTCTCAGTTCATTACATTTTATATGAAAGTTATAGAATTTCTGTATAATATACTGTGGCACCAATAGGAGTGAATCCCTGAAGGTCTTTAGTCAGGTCTCGCAAGCCTTTGGAAAGCCATAAGGATTGGGCTACCAGCATTTCAAGGGTGAAACCGTTTCAAAAGTGGGGAGCTGCCATAAACTACGTCTATTTCCACGACCCTACTAATTACACTGCAAAGTACACAAGGATCTTCAACAGGCATTCTCTGTTTGAACATAATGGTTAGGCAGATCCTGAGCCACGTAGGGCTTTTTAATTAATGATCTACACCTTGAATGCACTTGGAAACATATGGACAGCCATTACTGTTAATTCCTAGAATTATGTAGCAGCAATGACATTGCCCATAACATGGGGTGACACAGCTTGCACTAATTGAAATTTCTGTGTCATTTTCAATGATAGCCACATATAAAAGAAATTTCATTAATCCAGAAGTGAGATACTTACAGAATGAGAGATACTCTTCAGCTCTAGAGAAGAGTACAGCTGGACAAAGACCTGTCTGATCATTACTTCCTCTTGTTCTTCCATCAAGAACCATGAGTCCAGAAGGAATCCCAAGATAAGGGAAACATTACCTATTCAGAGAAAAAGTTGTTACAAATCCAGAGTCATTAAACTACTTAATGAACTATCACTTCATTTATCTATTTTATTACCTATCCAGATCCTGGCAGCTCCAGGTACTGGCTTAGAACTTACATGTCCCCCATTTAAATGAGAATGGAGATAGATATTGATGATATTTTATCCCAAAATGGTGGATAATCTCTACTAGTTTTCTGTAGATTTTTAACAGGATTGGAGACTGCAATAATTGTAGTAAATAAGAGAATAACAGAATTGGGAGGAACCTTGGAGGTCCTCTAGTCCAACCCCCTGCTGAAGCAGCAGACCCTATACCATCTCAGACAAATGGTTGTCCAATCTCTTCTTAACAACCTATAGTGATGGAGCATCCACAACTTTTAAAGGCAAGCATTCCACTGGTTAATTGTTCTCAACGTTAGGAGATTTCTCCTTAATCCCAGATTGGTTCTCCTCTTGATTAGTTTCCATCCATTGTTTCTTGTCCTGCCTCCAGGTGCTTTGGAGAATAGGTTGACCACCTCTTCTTTGTGGCAGCCCCTCAAATATTGGAACACTGCTATCATGTCATACCATCCTTCTTTTTACTAGAATAAACATACTCATTTCCTGCAACCATTCTTCATATGTTTTAGCCTCCAGCCCCCTAATCTTTGTTGCTTTTCTCTGCACTCTTTCCAGAGTCTCAAGGTCTTTTTTATATTGTAGCAACCAAAACTGAATGCAATATTCCAAGTGTGGTCTTACCAGGACATTATAAAGTGGCACTAACACTCCACATGTCGGTTAAATCAAATTAAATAGTTAGAAGAAGTTAGCTAAATAGAATAAAAAGATTAAGGTAAAGGTTCCCCTCGAACACATATGCTAGTCGTTTCAGACTTTAGGGGGCAGTGCTCATCTCCGTTTTGAAGCCGAAGAGCCAAAGATGTCTCCATGATCATGTGGCGGGCATGACTAAATGGCGAAGGTGCACATAACGCTGTTACATTCCTACCAAAGGTGGTCCCTATTTTTCTACTTGCATTTTTACATGCTTTCGAACTGCTAGGTTGGCAGAAGCTGGGACAAGTAATGGGAATGGGAATTAGAATATATTAATTAGTTAGTATAAAAGAAATAATCCATTGCACATTGCTGACTGAATATTTTACATAATTAAGTTGTTCCTTAACGTCCAACTATATTGATATTGTTTAAATAATGAATGTTCAAACATTTGCCCAGTATAAATTGTATTAATTAAATATGTGCTCTTTGGCATAGAGGTGATACAAATCTATTCTACAATCAGAGCAAAGTGTTCTTAGTGAAATGAAAGTGATTTCATTTTTATAGCAATTTAACTTGTTAAATTAAATTCAGCACTATTTTGATATTCTACTCTGATCACACAGAGAATGTGAAGAATTAACACACAGTGGCACAGAAGAGTTTACTGTCAATTAGGAAATGTGTTGTTATAAACAAAGAACAGTTGTGTTTGATGTGGGCATTTAAAATAATATGCTATTTTGGTTCTATCTAAAAGAAAAACAACTTTGCCAATGTACAAGCTTGAAGGATATTTCCAGTGTGCTTTAAAGAACACTGTAAGAACGCTAATTATTTCTGGAGAGTATAACAGTGAGTTAATGTACCTTTGTAAATAACTCTGCATATTGTTGAATATAGTCAATATTGAATTGGCAATAGATCCAGCAGGCTGAAATCTCTTGAAAATGCAAGAATGAACCGTGGTCACATTTTCTTATACAGTAGCAGCATGAAATCTTGTTTCCTGGATGTGCATCCTATGACATTTAGGAATTCTTTGATGTTTCTTTTATGAGTTACACCAATCCTATGGATTCTTATCTGGCTGAATTTCTCCCCAACCATTTCTTGGTTTGTGTTGTGGGTACATTCTGATACTGGGAGCATTTGTGAGATTACGTCTGGGGACAATATTGTAACTCCTAACCTGCTATAGTTACAGCTATTGCTTGTTTACTGAGCCTAAGTGAATCTTTTGTTTCTTATGATTTGCAAGGTATTTGAATTCTAGATAAGAACTTTAAGAATTGCATCTTAAACAATGGGTGCAATTGTAAAGATCAATGACTTATAGTAAACCCTTTGAAAAATCCCCACCTTACTTGAAATTGTTCAGTAGGATCATGCAAACAATTAAGTCTTGCTTTACAAGATTTCCTGTACATATTAATCAGATTTCAAAGAGTTTGCTTTTACTTAAAAGAGGCAGGCAGGGGTTTATTTCTGCTCAAGTGGACACTTGGTCCATAGTGCTTTTCCTAAGACAGCACTCTAATTTTTTCAGGCAGAGGTGGGTTGCTCCTGGCTCGGCCCAGATCAGGCGAACTGGTACTTGTGGCGGTGGGAGGCTCCGCCCACCCTCCCGGACGTTTCTGCACATGTGCAGAAGTGTCACGTGAGCACGCGAATGTGCACGAGTGAACCGGTAGTAAAAAAATGGAAACCCCACCACTGGTGTGTAGATGTAGAAAAAGCAAGGTGAACTGTTCAGATGAATTGGTTCAGATCCAACCTGATTAATAATTTAAAAATTACATAAACAATCTCCTTTGTTCTCAGATCAGTTGCAAAAAGTTCAGAGATGTTTGGTTTCACTTTAGATTAATGAGACCTTAGAAATGGGGGGGGTCCTTTGTTTGATGGCAGTAGAAACAAGTCAGGTCTGTGGATTGTGAAGCTGTTTTCTGTAAAGTAGCCATGATTACATTTAATCACAAGCTATGTGTAAACTTGTGGTTAATCTAAACTAGAAGCAGAAACTTTCAATTTTTGTCCAACTTTGGCAGAAGAGAAGAGAAGGGAACTAAGCAATTTATTACCTTTGTGAAGCTAGATTTACACAGATTTACACATAATTGTTTGAAATCAACCACAGTTTTCTAGTATAAAGCATGGAATAAAGTAGATGAAAGGGTAGCCTCACCAAGTGTCCCACAATAAAAATAAGAGAGTTAATATAGTCAATTTTCATTTATGAAAAGTGAAAGTGAAACATGAATATTTCTGATTGATATAGTTTGTTGTAAGTCCATAGGGTCTTACTTATGTCCAAAAATAAAATAAGGACAAAATTGGGGGTTACTGCCAGGGGTTGCTTACAAAGACTTGTAGGGATTTTGAAAATCAAATTCCAACATGGCCGCCATGGAGGATTCATAATTTTGTATAAGGGTGTGCACTGTGAGGAGTTGTGCTATATGATGGAGAAGGTGGTTGGACCCGTCCTCCAAATCTCCTCAACTCTGTTATACAGCAAATGGATCTTGATTTTCCTCTGTAGAAACCTCTTCAGTATTTTGTGAAGGACCATTGATTTGGTGTACTGTAACCACAATCTCAACCCAGTGTCTCCCCAGTGGGGGGGGGGGGAGCAAGACACGGAACTAACCAGCAGAGCAGAAGGAAGGCAACAGCTGGCACTCTTGGCAAGGAAGGGATTTAAGACTCACAGAAACAGTTTTCATTTGCTAGAAGCAATTTAAGCATCTGGCTACATGTACGGTGACTTTGTGAATCCAGTTATTTACAACCCCTGCTTGTTTAACTGTTGCTGATTTGGCATCATAAATCTTCAGCTTGGCTTTGGATTGCTTGACTTGGAATTCACCTTTGTCCAGCTAGATGCTTATCTGTGATTATTTGTTTCCCTGTTTTTTGCTTTTTGCTTTGCCAATTCCTGCTGCCTTGCTGTCAGAATTTGCAGAAACTACACTTCCCCTTAATAGGGAAGCCCAAGAATTTTGTTCTGTTCCTGAAGGATTGACAAGAAAGGCCCCTCATCCATTTTGAGATCATTGGGAACATAACCGATTAATGATTGCTTGGTTTTTGGGAAATATATTGCCCTAATATCCCTCAGTTCCATATATTCATATCATAGCCCTTCACTACACTCTTCTTCCATGGTCTTGAGTCCTGTGCTACCTATCACTCAAAGATCTCCCTTTCTATTTTTAAAGATGAGGGCCATGTCCTCACATCTTCTCTTGCTCTTCCCCAAATCTCCCAGCAGTCATGATACAGAGTTCCACAACATTTACCTATTTGTAATGTTCTGTTTCCAGTCTTGGAGTTAATCTCCTTCATCAGACCTCTTGGAATCCACTGGATCAAATACAAGAATGATCACTGTATCTTGAGACAAACACCAATGCCTTGTCTTTTTTCAGTAGTGACCAAATAAGCCTTCCATATCTAGGGGGTAAACTCAGGTTCCCATGGAACAGGTCCATATAAAACGTCTTTCAGCAGTTCTTAATGCTGACTAAAGTCCTAGCAAAGATGCACAAGAATCCAACTACATCCTTTTCATCCCATGAAAGCTTCAGCAGCCATGGTTTGCTTCATTTTGTGATTTATGTGCTGGGATTACATCCTATTCCCCAAATGGCCTGAACTTCTGTCAGTCCATCGGGAAAAGTGCATAACCTAGATCAGTGCTGGCAAACCTTTTTGGCACTGAATGCCAAAACAGGAGTGAGCACGTGAATGCGGGGGAGTGCCGGAAACCGGAAGAGCAGTTCCCTGAAGTTCTGCGCATGTGTGCCGGTCACCTGGTCTTTCAGTTTCTGGTGCCATTGTGTGTGTGAACACCAGCTGGCTGGTACGCACAACGGGCGATGAATGGCGTGCCCAGAGAGATGGCTCTGTATGCCATTTCCGGCACACATGCCATAGGTTCACAGACCTAGATCTTTATACTGACTGACTCACATCTTGAAGGTGTCGATTCCAGTAATCTGTCTTCATACATCCTTCCCTTCTTCTCTGCTTGGTGCTAGTGACTTTAGAATTTCATGCAGGATCAGGAATGTTGGTATCAGGAATTAAGAGGATTTAGCCTGAAATACAGCTAGTCATTCATTGTATGTGTGGAGGACAAGACTCCAAGCAAAACATGTCATATACTATAGCAGATTCTGAATGGGCTTTGCAGAAGTGGGAAGCCCTTGGGTGAATTCACAGAAGACCACTCAGTTTCATTGTAAGTAAGTAATTGGTTCGTCTGATTGGCTGTTAAAGTAGAATAAACCATAATGAGCACTGATGCTCTGTTTCTTAAAGTACCTCTACCGAAAGGTTGGAGTATTGAATTGATAGGAAGTTAAGAAATAGAAGCGACTCTACATCATAGTTTATCTTTTCATTTGGAAGCTCAGACCAGTGATTAGTATAAATCATGGTGTCAGAAAGAACCCTCTACTAGAGCCAGATGTAATTAGAGCCCAGGAGGAAAAGAATTATTTGGGTTGACAATATTAATCCATTCATTCTCTCTAAAATAAACTGCTTGTCACTGCTATTTTCCATTTTTGCCTAAGCCAACGAAAGATAGTCTTTAGGGATAAAGGCAAACTGTTCCTGTATTTAAGCAGCTGCCTAGAACAATCAATGCCTTACCTTTGATTCAGGTTGCAAAATAAGCTTTGCTCATTTTGGAGTAAATGTGGCAGAGACGGTTCAAGATATATTTGTTTGTTGTTCGTTAGATTGATTTATATGGATGTCCAGCTTGCAAAAAGCAATCCTGAGAGGCTTACAATGGGAGACAAACATGGAAAACAAAAACAAAAAAACCTAAAAATGAAACACAACCAATCTCTGGATCTGAAAAGAGAATAACAAAATAAAAGCTAACAGAGTGATTGACACCAGCCACAGCTTTCATTCCAGATGAGTTCATCTCACACTTTGGCCCAATGTCCAGAAGAACCATATTTTTAGGATTTATGGAGGGCTAGTAGGGTCACACCATTTGAACCTTGGGAAATAATATTCCATAAAGCAGGTGCCAGGACAGAGAAAGCATCACCAGGTCCCATTAGATGTCATTGTTTTTGCAAAATCTCATAGATTAAGCAGAGACAATTGGAGGTGAGCTGTCCTACAAATAACCTAGCCTTAGGCCACGGAGGGCTTTTATTCTATAGATGATAACTGGCAACTTGAATTGCATCCATGAGCCAACACAGCTCCCAAAATTTTGTTGTTGTTCCATCACTAAGTCGTGTATGACTCTTTGCGATCCTGTGGATCATAGCACTAACCAGGCCCCCCGCTGTCTTCCACTGTCCTAGAGTTTGCCCAAATTCATGTTCACTGCATCGATGACGCTATTTAACCATTTCATCCTCTGTTGTATCCTTTTCCTTTTGCCTTCAATCTTTCCCAATTTAGGGTCTGTTCCAGCAAGTCCTTTCATCTCATTAGCTGGCCAAAGTATTTGAGCTTCAGCTTCAATTTCTGTCCTTCCAAAGAACAGCCAGGATTGATTTCCTTTAGGATTGACTGATTTGATATCCTCTAAGGCAGTGTTTCTCAACCTTGGCGACTTTAAGTCCTGTGGACTTCAACTCCCAGAATCCCACAGCCAGGGAGTTGAAGTCCACAGGACTTAAAGTCTCCAAAGTTGAGAAACACTGCTCTAAGGAGTCTTCTTTAACACCACAATTTGAAAGCATCAGTTCTTCAATCTTCAGGCTTTCTTAAAACCATATACTATTAGTGGGAAAACTAATGGTGTTATATGAGTGTACTGACTTGTGTCCAACAACTACTTGTGTTGCTGCATTCTAGGCCAGTGACAGCTTTTGGTAGCTTTCAAAGGTAGCCCCTTGCACAGCACATTGCAGTAATGCAAACCAGAGGTGACCAGAGCACAAATGATTGTAAATAGCCTACCAGTCTAAGAGAAAGGACACAACTGGAACAAATGTGCACAAAGGGCTTCATGGATATGGGCACTACCTGCTTTTCCAGACGTTTTACTTTTGATAACTCAACTCTGGTATATCAAGGTTGCCAAAGTTCTTAGCTATCCCTTGTAGAAGTCAGCTTTTACCCCATTTTTATAACTAGCTATTTCAGGCTTGACATACCAGGCAATTTTAAGTTTTACATATGTGTATGATTGGTCTGGGATAATCAATTAATTGTGCTCTTCCTTACAGGAAGTTCCAAAGTTCTTTTTCAGGAGGCAGCTGGACTTCGTTTTTTTGTTTTTTTCCCCTTTGAAGATATTTTGCTTATCATCCAAGAAGCTTTTTCAGCTCTGACTGGATGGAGGGGTATGGAAAGATTTATATTCCTTTCAGACAGCTGGTCATTTGCCTTCTTTTAGAGGGCTGTTGAAGCACACCCTTTGAATGGTGTGGGAATATTAACAGATTTCTCCCCTCTAAAAAATTTACAGACTACAGGAATTATTAGCACTATTCAGGTGACCCTGAGGACACAGATTAACCTCCATGTGGCCTCAACGACCCTCTAAAAGGATGCAAATGACCAGCTATCTGCAAGGAATATAAATCCCTACATTCCCAACCATCCAGTCAGAGCTGAGGAAGCTTCTTGGATGAGAAGCTTCCTGTTGACCCTGAATATTACACATGTGTAGCCATATTTTATTGTAGCCTTTGTCTATTTCTTCTTAGTTTTTAGGTTTGCAAGTAAAGGAACTTAATGGCATTTCAGGCTCGCCACTCTCTAACTGTTGAAAGGGGGATTACTTAGATAAAGGGGGAATGTTATGCCTAGGTGGCATTCCTTCCCATGGGAACAGAGAAGATGCCTGTAGCTGAAGGAAAGTGGAGTTTGAAATCACAGGACTGATTGGACTGAGAATTGATTGGAGATTGTGACTCAGGGGGGAAGTTTCAAACTTTTGCTTTTTATTGGGTGTAATTCCAGATCCTGGCCAGAGTCGGAATTACACCAAGTCCTTGCCAATTTGATATGTTCCTAATAAACAGACTTTGATGGAGAATGGATGCCTTGGACTGTATTTCATGGGACGTGTTATTTGGAAGCTTGACAAAGAAGCTTTTTCAGCTCTGACTGGATGGTGAGGTATGTAAAGATTTATATTCCTTGTAAACAACTGGTCATTTTCATCCTTTTTGAGGGTCATTGAAGCACACCCTTTGAATGGATGCAAATGACCAGCTTTCTGCAAGGAATATAAATCTCTCCACCATCCAGTCAGAGCTGAAGAAGCTTCTTGGATGAGAAGCGAAATGTTTTCAAAGGAAAAGAAGCAAACAAATCAGAAAGTCCAGTTGCCTCCTGAAAAAGCATCTTTGAGGCAACCATGACCTGGATGACTGAGACTTTCTACAAACTTCTTACTGGAAGTTAGGTGCAAACAATAAAAATAAGACTTTCTTTGGAAATCACTAACAGGCATCTTTGTGGCTTTTAAATTAATGACCAACACCTCCCCATAATCTGCAAAAAAAAGTAGTCTTAGATTGTTAGGGATATTGGGTTTCCTTTTATTGTCATAAGCATAATCATGTAGGTTGGAATGTTATCATGTTGACTCTAAATGCCACATTTTTAACCACTTTTCTTTTCATTTTTTTTTTGTTTAGCAAAATAAGCTTCCTCAGAACTGCTGTCCTTTGCTTGTATTTGTGAATCCCAAAAGCGGAGGTCTTAAAGGTCGGAATTTACTGTACAGTTTCCGAAAACTGTTGAATCCTCATCAGATCTTTGAACTAACAAATGGAGGTCCCCTGCCTGGGTAATCTATTGTTTCTATTCAACACAACTTGACTATTTCACGTGTTATTTGTTTAGGGTGATCTTGTTGTTTTTTTCCCTTGCTTTTTTTTCTCCTTGCTCTTGGCCTTGCAAAGCAGCTGAAGCCCTGACCGATGACCAAATGGAAATTGCTGGACTGACATTTTTACCATGCCTTGGAGAAGAGAAGATTTCCTCGTCTTAACTCCTTTTTGTTCCTGAACCTTTTCTCTTAAAATTTGGCACTGCATAATGACTCAGGAGTTTGAAAATCTATAACCTTGGTTAATTAGGTGATCTTGTATCATTTCAATATGGGTGACAAGATGGCATTGCCAAGGAACGTCTTTAAGATTTTGCAGCTGCTGTGTTGGGATTTCCTAATTCTCCCTTTGACCAGAAGATTCTGACACCTTATCATCTGTTTATTTTGGAAGGTCACTTGGATTGGAGTGCAAAGCCGCTGTTTGCAAAATGCAGATCCGAAGCCTTGGGCTAATGCTCCACAAAGACTTTGGAAGCCAGCCACCTCTTTCAAAAGCTTTTAGTGCAGTAATTAGGAAGCATCACAGTGTGAATAGCAATGTGGCTGAGCTTGGACAATATTCACGCCAAAAAGTTCAATTAAAAAAAAAAAGGAAGAGATATTTAACCCTTCTGTCAAATAATAAATCCTTGCACTCATTTCAATAGGCTTTAAAGTCATTTATTAAAACTGTCAGGGTGAGTTGAATAAATGCCATTTCTATTTTTTGCATTGGGATTTGGCAGCGGTTATTCCAAAGAAAAGAAGCTAATTTGTCAAAGACACAATGATGCAAAGAATGAAAAAGAGAGAAAACTCTAGACACTTGCCCTTTATTGGAAAATAGACTGAACGTTCATTACATGACTCCCCCCCCCCCCACGTACATATGTAGCAATAGCAATAGCAGTTAGACTTATATACCGCTTCATAGGGCTTTCAGCCTCTCTAAGCGGTTTACAGAGTCAGCATATTGCCCCCAACAACAATCCGGGTTCTCATTTTACCCACCTCGGAAGGATGGAAGGCTGAGTCAACCCTGAGCTGGTGAGATTTGAACAGCCGAACTGCAGAACTGCAGTCAGCTGAAGTAGCCTGCAGTGCTGCATTTAACCACTGCGCCACCTCGGCTCTGTAAATTTTGATAAAATATTAACTCTTGAAAATGAAACATTCCAGCAGTTTTTTCCTATTTAAGCTGCATGAAATACACTCACATGTTCTAAAAGGTTGTTTTTTAAATAAGTAAGAAATTAATTTTAGGTTGGTTTGAGTACTTTCCCCTTCAATTTTATTTATTGGTGATGAGGTGTTTTGTTTTTTTTCAAATAGGCAACAAACTATTTTGCTTTTTTTCTTCTTGCCACATGCAAATCTGTCGGCTTTTCATATTGAATGTGTATTACATAGCTGGAAAGTGATACTATAAAATGTTAGTGGGCACAGTTCCGTTTTGTTTAACAGATTTGTAGAAGAAAGCTTAACAGACTTTCAGATGACGAGCATTGTATGAAAATTAAAGCAGTCCATTTATCTTCAGCAAGAGAAGTAATAACATTAATTTTCTCTCTTTACCATCTTTATCAAATGCTTTCATTGTTCAAGCAAGGCACTTGAATTTCAAAGGCCAAGTGGGCTTATCTATGTTGCCCAGGAATGTGTTTTTGAGTAGTCAATCCCCATTTTTCAGGCCAGCAAGATATTTAAATCAAACAACCATTCTCAAACCCTGAAGAGCACTTTAGCCTGCTTTAATGCTCTCCTAACAGCTGTTTTTGAGGGCAAATGTAATATGAAAATCTGAGATTGAGAAGGACTTTTTGGCCTCATAGCTCTTGCCCTACTGTATTGGGTCTATAAGGATACCAAGGCCCATTCCATCACTCCATATATATGAAATGCCCATCTCTCCAAGAGGTGACACTAGGTGGCTTAAATATTAAAATAGTAAATGTTAATGTTAAAATTTATTTAAAATTAACAAAGATGGTAGGAAGGGAGTAGGATGCATATGAGGTGAAGGTGAAGTCTTATTTGAAAATGAACATTAGGAAGGCTCAGTTTTTGTTTATTTTTTCTGATTTTGGTTCTGTTATGTTAGAATATGGGGGAAAAAACATGTTTAATACAACCCAGATCTTCTAGAATGAAGAGGTAATACTAGATCATTCTGTGAGTGATCTTCTTGTCAGTACAGTAGAACCTCTGGTCATGACCATAATTCGTTCCATAACTTTGGTCGCAAACTGATTTGGTCGTGACCCAAACATAATTTCGGAAATTTGGTGCTTACAAAAAAAATGGCGTGGAAGGGGAAATCGGCTACGAAAAAAAGTGTTTTGGTTGGAGCCTGATTTGGTCGTGGTCAGAAATGTTTGTGACCAGAGATTCTACTGTATCTCAAAAGCACTCGGACCAGATCCATAAAGTTACTCTTGTGCATCTCCTAGGAGTCTGAGAGCCCAATGAGATTTCTCATTTCTTTCTGTTAACTTTCAAATTGCTTTTGGAGCTTGAAGGGTTGCTGCTGGATTAAATGAAGTCCAGTCTCTCCTTGCCCATGTAGAATTCATCTGGTTCTTGGGATATCGACTTCAGTCTATTAAGAAAATAAGATACATGAGCCCATGTCTGGTTTTAGTTGCTGGATAGATTGAAAGTAAACTGTACACATGCTTGAATTTGCAATTTTGCTTATAATAATATTGTGCTTATTGTTTTTTTATACACTGAAGATTTCATGCCTTCTCCCAAATTCCATATTTCCGAATATTGGTATGCGGTGGTGATGGCACAGTTGGATGGGTCCTTGGTGCTCTGGAAGATATCAGGCACAAGCTCGCCTGCCCTGAACCATCTGTGGCTATTTTGCCATTAGGAACAGGTGAGGCTTAAACTGTGGATTTTAGGAAGAAGAAGGGCAATGGATGAGGATTTCCATAAGCTCATAGATTCTGTCCAGTGGTGGGTTGCTAGCTGGTTTTCTATCAGTTTGCATGTGTGAGCGCAGAAGCTTCTGGGTGGTGGGTGGAGCCTCCCACCACTCCCTCTACCGGTTCGGCTGAACCGGGAGCAACCACCTCTGATTCTAACCTTCCGCAAATTAAATTAGCACTGGCTACCATTACAGCAAACTGGTGTTATTAGGTTATTTCCAATGGCAAATTCAGAAAACATCTCATTTTAACTTTGTAAGTGATCATTAAAAATGTATTTGAATCAATGGCCTTGTAGATGTGGCAGAACTACAACTCCTAGTTTACATCAGTGGTTCTCAACCTTTTCTTCACCATGGGCCCCTTTTAAAATACCTTTTGTGGCCCTGGACCACCAAGACTTAACTCAAGATTTAAATCATAACATTTCTTCAAGACTTTATGGACTCCACTGTGACATCGTGGTCCCTCGGGGATTTGTGGACCACAGATTGAGAACCACCGGTATACACCATTGGTCAGAAATAGTAAGCCTATTAAAATTCAGGTTAAGTGAGAGTAAAAGGTTTTTCTTTTTCTTTAGTTAGATATTTTAAAATGAAAATATGCCTTTTTTATCAGGTAATGACTTGGGGAGGGTCCTGCGCTGGGGTGCTGGCTATAGTGGCGAAGATCCGTACTCGATTCTGATATCCGTAGATGAAGCTGATGATGTGCTTATGGATCGTTGGAACATCCTTTTAGATGCTCAAGAGGCACTGGAAAGCTCAGAAAATGGTGTATCAGAGCCAGAACCTCCTAAGGTATTTCTCAAGTTTTCCTTCCTGAAACTATAAAAATGTAGCAACAACAACAAAAAAGGAAGGCACTGAACATCCAAAAATCATAAACGTGTAGAATGATCTAATAATTCAAGATTGAAGCAGTAGAGGATAACTTGGTTGTATTGTAGTGTCTTTCTCAGATGCCTGCTGTTTTTATTAAATAGATTTTTGGCCATAATTTATAGTCTTCTCTCCATTTTCCCTTCACTTTTGCTTCTACTTATCTTTTTTTTTTTGCTACCACAATTAGTCGCTTTTTCACTCTCTGTTCCTCTTTTCTGATGAATGTGCAAGTCATGATGAAAAGCAATCTTTCCAGACATTATGCACAGAGGATAAATCTATGTAATAAATATAAATATATATAACACACAAACACACACACACACACAGACATATGCACACATATATATATATATAGATAGATATCTGTTTGTGTGTGTGTGTGTATGTATATATATATGTGTGTGTGTGTGTGTGTGTGTGTACGTACGTACATACATACAGTGGGGCAAAAAAATATTTATTCAGCCACCAATTGTGCAAGTTCTCCCACTTAAAAAGATGAGAGAGGCCTGTAATTGACATCATAGGTA